CTGACTGGACGTTGACCCCTGTTTCTGAGGTATCGATTCTTTGTTTCATAGTATGTAAATAGGAGCAGTTAAGGCCTCTAGGTTTTAGCAGCTGACTGAAGACTGGCCTTTATTCTGGGGCACTTTCTGTTTTTCCTGTCATTTTGTCCTTGCGGGCGAGCATAATGCCTCCGAGATTTAGCAATCGGCTGAATATTGGCCCCTGTTTATTATAGATTCTTCCTTTTTCTAATGCTGGTGTATCGGTGTATAAGCAGCGCAAAACCTGTACCCTTTGGTTTGTCATAGTCAAATAATAATTTTTGTTAGCATGCCTGAAAGATGTTAGAGGATAAGAAAGGAATGCCCCAGAGAAGTGCCGCAGGATTATGGCATCTGTTTCAGAGTTTAGAGAGGGGCGATCCGCTTATTCAGGGCAAGCTTTTCCTACCTGCGTGCAGGTCAAGCGTCGGTCGTTCCTCCTTGCACACCAAATAACCGAAATTGGTATGAGTTCGCACGCTCATCTGCTAAAGCGTACGCCCTTTTTAATTATCCGTTTCCTCTAACCGAAATTGATATTAAGCGGGCTGAGCGTCCAGCGGACGGCATAGTTCGGCCTTTTAAACTCATGAACTTGGGTTGTTTTCGAGCCGTCGATGATTTCTTCTTTTGGATTGCTTGGATATTTGATTCTTGATTTTGATCTTTTGTGCTCATAGTTTTTGTTTCTTGTTTGAGTATACAGATTGGCATTGAAGTAGTAGGGTGTTGCATGAAAATGAAAATGAACAATATAAAAGTAATACAATCTTATTATGTGCTAAAAGTGAAATGATAAATAAACACCGTCGGCATGTCATCCTTTTCTTTTTATCTTGTTATTCAGTCATATTCAATACAGTAGTTCATGTAACAGTAAGCAAAAAGTTCATAAACGAATAGAATTTTATTAGATGCATAAACGATTCATTTGACTCTTTAAATACTCGTTTAAAACATCTCTTATATTCATACTATTACGTGCATGACGTTGTCGTTTAAGTTCTGTACTAATTTGACAAACTTGATAAACTCTTTTTAATCAAATAGTTTAATGTTCATAAACCCAGACAAGGAGTACGTATTTACCAAAAAATAAAAATATTCTAACTGGATAAACTCTTTATAATAGAGCGCTTTCTTTATACACAGGGAGGTGCAAGAATTACTGAAATGCAAGATATAATTGATGAATTCATTGCATTCTACAAAAAGCTTTTGGGGACTGCGGTATTCACTACTAATTCTGATCCTGCTGTGATTTCTAATGGACCTGTTGCATTAGTACTTCCAGTCACTAAGGAGGAGATAAAGCATGCTATTTTCACTATGGTAGATGACAAGCCATCAGATACACTGCATCCTTCTTCAAGACAGCTTGGAATGTTAACAGTGAAGACGTCTTGTTGAGGAATTCTTTTGCTCACATTGGTGCCCAAAGTTTTTAACCCACAACTGCTGCAGATTTTAGGCCAATTGCTTGCTGCAATTGTGTGTATAAGGTTATTACTAAAATCATTGCAACAAGAATTAAAGAAGTTATGGGTTTTTTGATAAGTGATGCCCAAAATACTTTTGTGAAGGGAAGATGTAGGTTGTCTAAAAATTACTGCAGATAGTTGATCCCCACAAAACAACAGATGATGAAAGATACAAACTGACATCCTTCACATCAACAAGCGGGAGTTACAATCTGACGACCTCCGCAACAGTCGATGAAAGTTACAATATGAAGACTTCACAGTAACGTGCGAGAGTTACAAATTGACGACTCTCACATTCCATAAGGGCCAAGTGTAAAGATTACAAGATGACAATCTGCACAAAAGTCAAAGAAAAGAGATTACAATTGACGATCTCTACAAATCTAAACGCGGAAACCCTCTTCCGCGTCCTAAAGGCTCAAAACGCAGAGGTCACCATGCGTTTCTAGAGCTCAAACGCAGAGGTCGCCATGCGTTCCAAACCCCAAACGTAGGGTTCACCCCGTGTTGCCAAGCTCAAACGCAGAGGTCGCCCCTGCGTTGCCAAGCTCAAACGCAAAGGTCGCTCTGCGTTGCCAAGACCAAACGCAGAGTTCGCCCTGCGTTTTCAGAGCTCAAACACAGAGGTCGCTCTGCGTTGCCAAGACCAAACGCAGAGTTCGCCCTATGTTTTCAGAACTCAAACACAGAGGTCGCTCTGCATTACCAAGACCAAATGCAGAGTTCGCCCTTCGTTTTTAGAGCTCAAACGCAGAGGCCACTCTGTGTTTCCAAGACCGAACGCAGAGTTCGCCCTGCGTTTTTAGAACTCAAACGCAGAGTTCACCTGCGTTTTCTCTCCAGAATGCGACCTTTACGTTTTTGACTCAGGAACAGTTTTTAAAACTCTCCTCTCAAGATATGAGCACAGTTAAGAGCGTGTTAAGCGGCACCTTACCCCCTGATTGCCCTATACATAGGGCTGGATCTCCAGTAAGAAAAAAAGAGGCCAGAAGAGGAGAAAAGGGAGGCCAAAAAAATAAGAGAAAAAAAGAGAAGAAGAGGGGCTTCTTGGGGCATCCTTGGAGCTCTTGGCTTGCTCTTCAAACCCATTTCGGTTAGTTCTCTTGGAGGTTCATCTCCTCTCTAAAATTAACCCTTCTTGGGGATTCAAACTCGGCTAGAGTTCTCAACCCTTTTATAGAGTTTCTAACTTGTTCAAACAAGTTTCCTTTAAACTCTTCTAGAGTTCTTAACTCTCTTACAAAGAGCTTCCTACTTGTTAAAACAAGTTTCCCCCAAACTCGTGTAGAGTTCTGAACTTGTCTTACAAGTTCTTAACACTCTTACAGAGAGTTCTCAAAACTCGGCTGGAGTTATAAACTTGCCTCGCAAGTTCTCTCAAGGCGTTAAGTCAAGGAGAGAAGACCAACACCCCACGAAGTTGAAGTGTTCGGATCATCAACGGGATACAAGATTCAAACTCTTATCGTCACAAAGAAAGAATCCAGTTTTAAACAAAGGGATGGTTTCATCATTCCCTCTTTTGTAAATCAGGGAACCGATAAAGAGAATTATAATTTTTTTTCTAAGTCAGTTAGAGAGAAGTTATATTGAGAGGATTGTAATCATTCTTTTTCTAAGTCAGTTAGAGGGAATAATACAGATTCAATTCTTAATTTTCTCGCAATTTCCTGCGCATATAAAAGATGACGACTCCGCTGGGGATGTGCTTTTTCTTCGATGAAGAAGTGGTGGTGCAATCCGACACCCAACTAGTTGGGATTAATGTTGAAACTCTAATCGTGGAGTTTGACCAAGCCAAGTATGAGGAGTTTCCTTCCTCCTGGTCCTTAGCCCCAAGGCTATGCACAAGGCCCGTAAAGTCTCTAAAGAGACTAAAGCTCCACCCATAGCCGACCCACCAAAGGAGAGTCTCTCTCTTAGGTTGGACTATTCAGACAGCCCCCCTCCGAAGGAGAAGACTTATCTCTAATGAAACTCATCAATCGAGTCCCAAACAGCGGGTATTGGGTCGCAAATACCCATTGAAGTGGCAAAATTGATCTCTACGGAGGAAGACATCGCTGTAAAAGCCTTAAGACAGGCCAAGAAGAACACCGTTCGTCGAAGAAGAAGATCCCATCAACGAGCACAACTCCAAGCAAGCCGATTCTCTGATCAACGCGAACATCGCGTTTGTGAGCCCAAACACAGCCCTCAGCTTCGCGTTTCTGCTTCAGAGCGCGAGCTCCACGTTTGTGTGCCCAAACACAAGCTCCGTCGAAGCCAGACAGAACACAGCCCTCAGTGGCACGTTTTACAGTCAAGACGCAGACCTCAAGACTGCTCTGAACGCAGACCTCAAGATTGCTCTAAACACAGATATCAAGACTGCATTACCCAGTCGGAGCATAGATCTCACGACTACGTAGAGCGTGGCCCTCACATTGCCAAGCCTGAGTGCAGAGGCTAGCTCCGTGTTGAGCGTGAGCATCAGCTCCACATAGCTCAACCAAAATGCGACCTTTGCGTTTCCTCTCCAAAACACGACCTTCGCGTTTCCTCTCCTCAACGTGACCTTCGCATTTCTTCTCCAAAACACGACCCCTGCGTTTCAATGTTAAAACGTGACCCTCGTGTTAAACACAACGTGAGCCGTCGTGTTCAAGGAGATTAACACGGACTCAAGATCTATGTCCATCAAGAGCCTGCCTCATCTAGCCACAGACAGTGGGTGTCGATCCAAGTCTCCCCTTCAATGAGTAACTCTTCTCAGATCTATGTAACAGATTTGAGAGAGTTGTTATCGAGAGAAAGACCGGTTCAACTAAGAAATCATCCAATCAGTCGTCGCCGACGTAACCCCATCCTCCATTCTCGAATCCAAGCTCAACGACACCCACCGAGTTGCAAAACTCTGGCGAGATTCTTTGAAGGTAATCACCGGATGGAGCATCGATGGGCTTCTCCCTAAGAATTGGAGTCCGTCCTTGGCTTGAAAGCAGCGACGCTTGGGGAAGGAAGCGCTTGAAAGCAGAGGCGCTTGGGGAAGGAAGCGTGGATGCCGGTGGTGAGGTTTGGGATGACGAGGGCACCGTCGGTGAGGTTTGGGATGACGGGGGCAGTTGGGATACAAAGATGGGGAGGGCATAGGGATTTTGTTGAATGAATTAGGAAAGGGAGCAATTATTTAGGGGAGATTTGTGTTTTTTACATCCAGGTC